GAGTAATGTTTTTACCAATCTCAGCAGGATTTAAACGCTTTCTGCCTCATCTTTGTTGCTTCAGCTCACAAAGAATCTTTTGCCATAATTGTTGATTTCTTGTAGCACTGGTACAATGACATTGATTTTCAGCTACTGGTTCCCATTTGTATTTTACATAATCTTAAGAAACACACAAGGAGACTGGTTTTATCTTGGATTGTTGTTGGATATTTAGAAAGTTTGATTTTGGGTGATTGTTGATGGGTCATGCTGTTTTCCCATTGATCTGGTCCACATAATATCTTGTCACTTCATTAGGCAGAATCACTTTTATTTTAAGAAGATTGCCCCGTTAGGAAACAGTTTCATTATCTGGATTTGCTGTTGCTCCTCTTATTGATAAATTCTCTGTTTGTAATAAGATGTATATCTGTTGTTGTCCCTTTTATCGGTTGCCCCTAAATTACCATGATAGACCTGTTTTGGGGGGTAGATTGAAAGGAAGATTATTTTTTCTCTTCCTTAAGTACAGGAGAGTTAGTCAACCAAGATTTCAAATAGGTCTTTTTTTTAAGGGCCACCAAGTACAGATTTATTTCAAGCACTCATACATCTGCAGAATTATCTGAGAAAATTCTCGGTGGAGTTTTTTTTCTTTTTTAATTTAAGTGCTAGCAGTCGCTCTTAGAAGCCCAACAAGAAGCACTACACAAAATGTCTCTCTTGGGATATGGCCTACTTCTTCTAAAGCTAGTGCTGGGTCCATGAAATACTTTGAACTGCTCAGAACAAAAATGTAATACAAACACCAGGTAGCGATAGTGTCATTAATTATCCTGTTTTTGCAGCTGAAAACTAGAAGTGTTTGAGGTGAGGTTCGCTGAGTGAAGAAGAGTTACCTAACCAGGCTGTAAACCACATCAAAGTGTGACGGTGGCAGGCAAGATGACAAATTCATAACAATAATGATATAAAATAATACAACAATGTTAGGACATATATAGCATACTCATAAAATATTATGTTATAAAAATAATATGATTTTCCTGGTGTGATAGCTTTCTTTTTATTGTAGCTAGACTGTGCAAAAGTTAGGCCTTTAGAACCTACCAATTAAATTAAGACTCAAGAATCTTCTAAATATTATGGTAAACAAAAATCAGCCAAGTTGAGAGAGAGATTACATGTACAAAGATGGCATGACTCTCATTAACATGACATACCATACTTAGCTTTTTGATCCAATTTTCAAATCAATGTGTGTATGTCTCTGTTTCACCTTTGCAGATCCATCTGCAAACAGTGTTACATAGTGATTGATAGAAAAGATCTGGAGCCAAGTTTAACTGGTTTGAATTCTAGCTCTACCACTTACTACCTGTGTATTTGAGTTGCTGTTTGTAGCTCAAAGCCTCAATTTTGTCCTCTGTGAAATAGGAATAAAAATATCACCTACATCATATGATTGTCAAGATTACATAACAATAATACATGTAAAACATACGGTGTCTGGCCTTGGCCAACTGCTCAGTCAATGTTGGTTATTATTATGAGGTCAGTAAAGGATGCAAAACTTCTTAACTGGAAAAGATTTCATATACGGAACTCCCCAGAAAGTTATGTTCATTTCATTGCTATGAAAGGTCATGGATTGCTACCCAGATCTTGCAGGCATTTATAAATGTTACTCTTTTCATGTATATTGTTGTTTAGGGTAATTGTTAGTAATTCCAGGAACAAATTTGAGGGGTGGGTAGCTTGACTACACATGGGTTATTATCGGGCAGTGGCCACCAGGCTCAGGGTTGAGAGATAGTGCTCTTTTTCTCTAGGGGGGTTAGACTTTCAGCCTCTCGACTGTGCCTTGATCCAAAGCTCTTGGTGCTCAGTCTGTATGTTCTTTGAAGACAGAGGGGTCTTGGTTTTCAGAGGCCAGTGTAGTGTGAGTCCAAGGTGTTTGGCAGAGAGGGATAAGTTTTAGGGTTCCTACGTTACTCTTGTGGACTATGGAGTTCTCTGCAAAGGACTCTCAGCCTTCCTTCTCTGTTTTTGTTGTATGTATGGTTTACCAAATCTTTCATAGTTTGACTTAAGCTTCACTTCTCCGTCATCCCTATGAGCATAAATACAAAAAAGAAGTAAGATGCCAATGGGACTTGCCCATAAATAAGAGTCCTCTCTGGATACTAACAATAACTAAACCATAATGTCTACCAAAATTCACTTACAGCTATTTCGTAAGCTAATTAGTTACCTTCCCATAGGTAGAAACACACTGACTCCAAACCCATTGCTTTCCCATATTGTCTCCCGCACTTTATTTTGGTGAAATTCAGGAACTTTGCAAATTAGATAATTTCTGAAGTTGTTCATTTTCAAATGTCAGAGGGAAATTGTCCAAACACCTCCTCTTGCCATGTGTAGTTCCAATTTCCTAAAGCTAATTTCTTCCTTCTAATTACAAGCACTCCAAGAACTAGTTTTTGCAACTCAGCATGAGAACAAGTAACTCATTTCTTCAGGCTGAGTTGAATGCAGGAGGCTTCCTGAATCTGCCAGAATACACCTGCTTCAGGTACAAGATAAATGTAAATGTTCCCTGTTCTATTATCATTATTGTTATTACTATTATATTTTTAGTGCTAAACTTCACTAGGAAAAACGTTTATCTGCCAATGGTCAGAACCCCATGTTTGGTATTTCAGTAGGAGGCTTGCCCTGGTCATAGGTAACATGGGAAACTTCTTTCCTTTTCTTTTTTTCCCTAAAGCGTAAGATGTAAAACATAAAAGTTTTAACTGTGTGTGAAATGCTATTTTTAAATTACTAAGTTGATTTAGATACATTCATCAAATCCAAGTGTCCTTTTTGGTGTCTTGTTGTTTACTCATGAAAAAAGAAAAAGCATGTATATTCATATGCAAGGATTCTGCTTCACCATAAAATAAGTGGCTGGAATGTCTTTCCGGACTGCGCTTTCTTGCTGTTGCTTTTGCCCTTCACTCTGATATCTAGGATGTCACATCTTAGGCAGAACTAGAACATCTGATGTTGAGACTGGAATCAACATAATAATCAAAAGTATCCTTTGACCCCATTTCTTATTTTCCCTGACAGAAGTGCATTGAGTCTACTGGATGATCATGTGAATTCAGTGGCAGACAGCAAAGGGTCAAACCATGCTGTTTGTTTTAAAAGCAAAACTTCCCTGTCTTCTGGGATCCATCAGACAACCTCCCTCCCTTTCTTAATAGTTCCTTCCTTTATCAGGTTCTAAAGTTGGTTCTGAACAAGTGCTCTATCCAAACAAAACAAAAATAATTCTGTTTCCATAGTTCTCATATTTTTAAAGTTCATATAATTGGGTTTTAATTTTCTTAATATAAGTTCTTTTGTTAATGCAACCTTACCGATAGTCTAGATCCAATCTTACCCTATTTGAGAACTTTAAAAGTGGCAGTACTCGCACTCCTTTTATTTTTAATCTGAGAGCATAACAGAAAACTATTAGAACTCAATAGTACTTCCTTTTCAAGCCACCAAATAAGAGCTGTGTTTGGTAATTTAGCAAAGTCCTGTACCATCTACCACTTCTCAATAGCTTATTATGTGCCAGGCACTAGGTTAAGTACTTGACATTATTTTAATTGATTCAAACAGTACAATGAAATAAAGAAGATATGAGTATCAACGTCCTAAGTGGGGAAACTGAGACTTTGAGAGGTTAATTTCATACAGATAGGAAATGACAGAGCCAGAATCTGATCTCTGGGCCCCTTCTTACCAGGAAGCCACCCTGGCCACCTTCAAAAACATACACATGGTGAGTATGATGGAAAAAAATGTAGTATAAAGTGAAGCAATTTACAGGCTCCGTCATTAAAAATTGGCTACAATTAAGATATTAAGTTCTCCCTCTGCCTGAAAAACCCCATTGTCCATATACATGCAAAAGAAGGTGCCCAGAGACTATGCCAACCTCCATCATATACCTCGGGTAGAGAGTAATTTTCTCCTCTTCCCTAACTGTTCTGACCCATCCTTTGCAAATATTGCTTCTAAAATGAAGGTGGCTGAAAAGAAATAAAGAAAATGGCTGCACAAGCTGCATGAAAACTATCACATTTCTTAGATAAGAGATCATCACACTTCAAAATTTGAGACTGAATTGAATAAGTATCCTGGTTAGAATTACACACATGCACTCAATCAAATGTTTTGTCGTATCTACAGAGTCCTTGAAAGGGAATAAAAGTCTGTGTATCTGTGCTTGGATTTGTTTTCTTTGTGTTTATGATTAGCATTGCAGTTCTCCAAGGGAAGTGCCTCCTTTTCAATAGTTTCTTTGTGCTCTTCAGTGGTAATAGCCCTAAGAAGAACTAGGTGTCTGGTAACTTAACGTAACAACTGCTATTGCACATTAGGGATACTCCCTTAGGTGTTGGTGCCTTGGAGCCCAGCTGGGGGTCTGCACCATATTCTCTTCCTCAGAGAATGCTGAAAGTGGAGACTCAATTTCAGTTGAGATCTTTCCATATCCCACATACATATGCGCAGAAGGTTAAACATTGCTAAGTCCTTTGGTAAATTGCAAATCAATTGCCTAGCTATACAATTGAGCAAGAGGCCTTCCATTCTGACTTTAGCTTACTGTAATTTTCTGTTGATATGCAAGCTTTGACACAAAGGACGATGAGCACCATAGTGGGCGGCCATTTTGTTGAGGAAACTGGAAATGCTCACCCTTTTATTAGTAAAAACTAAGTCCCAGTGGCCACGATCTTATTGTTTCTTCAGTTTAAGGTTACGTTTTCTGCCTCCCACAGACTAATGTCACTTTTCCATGTTGAAACCAAGAGCGGCATTTGGCATTTGGTTATCCCAAACCCAAATCTCTTACCCTTTGTTTTTAGTACTTTGCCATTTTGATTTTGCTTTTTTAATTTGCTTGTGACTCTCTGCTTCCCCCATCTTTTTTTTTTTTTTGGTACAATGATTCTTACCTTGTCTTTCCCCAGTCCGTTTCTGACCTGGAGAGACGTACAGCATGTTATTGTCAGGACTTCCCGTGCGGGACATTTGAACGCTAATGACTGGAAAACCAATGCTGCTGGTTTTAAGGGTGAGAACTTCTTTCATATTCTGTCACAGGCAAAATATTTTTATTTTTCCCCCATTTTAAATGGAGAGCAGGAAATGGAGCCCCTCAAACGAAACTTTAAATTTCGTGCTGACACACAAAGAGCTTGATCTTTTAATAAATAAAAGGCAGATTGATTTTTTAAAATTAAAACTACACATATAAGACAAATTTCCTTGGCTTCCCACGTAATAGGTCAGTTTTTTTCAAAGACAGACCAACTCCCCAGTATAGACGACCTATGGGACTCCTAATTAGTTTACTATTTGCTGTCATTGATTATCTGAGTGGTATTTATAACAATGTATTTTAAAATTCCTCTCTTTCTATAATGATTACTTCCACCTAAATAATAACTGATATATATTGTTCACTTTAGCGTAGTGCTGTTAGTTGCTAGGCCATAAATTTTCCATAAATTTTATTTTGTGTTTGTTTTAAAACTTCCACAAACAGAAAAACAGGCATATTTCTAAGAAATGTTATTTTATATAAGTTAAAAGCTCTTAGAAAGCTTTAAAATGTCCAGTCTTTATGCAGTTGTGCACAATATATGTATATAACAAGTACTGAATAGTTTTCCCATGACTGATGTAGGTTATACTTCCCTCAAATTATCTGATTATTTTTTTTTAGTTGCTCTAGCTCCTAGAAAAATTATCTGATTATTAACAGAGCCATTTTGTTTATTGTCATAGATAATGTTATATAAAAAGAAAATAATTATATAAATCATATATCCTAAAGTTTAATATGCTTACTCAAGTTGCAAATGACCTACATTTTAATCCATTAACTTAAGTTATAACAAAGATTACTTTTCATATATCTATTCTTAAACTTATTCCCAAATAATGTTAGTGACATTATATATCCCTGTGTTTATATCCCTGTGTTACTGTCATTATATATCCCAGTGTTTGATAGCATAGGGAATATCTACTTAAAAATTGAGGTTCTGGTCCTCAGACCATCAGTAACATGCTGAATAATCCTGGGCAAGTCATTTAATTTTTAAGGACCTTAACTGCCTGCATTTAAACATTTTGGAAGCTAATCATGCTATCTGCATCTCCCGTCTTACATATGACCTTCATATATCATCATATGCCCAGTGTGTGCAAATATTCATGCCAGAATGTACATTTTTAAAATTATTTACAAATACCTTATTATAGATGCCTGCTAAGCCAAAACTTATAAATATCCCGGGTAACCAGCACCACACAAATAGTTCTTTGATTAACATCTTCACTGCAGGATTCACTCCATTTTTAGAAGGAGAGTATCCCTCATGTTTGGAGTGATATCAAATACGTTTCCATGCATGTAAAACAACATGATGCAGCAGTGTTCAATGAGCTTTAACCTAAAGAGTTATAAATACCTGGCCGGGTGCAGTGGATCACACTTGTAAGCTTAGCACTCTGGGAAGCTGAGGCGGGAGGATCATTTGAGTTCAGGAGTTCGAGACCAGCCTGAGCAAGAGTGAGACCCCGTCTCTACCAAAAATAGAAAGAAATTAGATGGACAACTAAAAATATATACAAAAATTTAGCCTGGCATAGTGGTGCATGCCTGTAGTCCCAACTACTAGGGAGGCTGAGGCAGAAGGATTGCTTGAGCCCAGGAGTTTGAGGTTGCTGTGAGCTAGGCTGACACCAGGGCACTCACTCTAGCTGGGGCAACAGAGTGAGACTCTGTCTCAAAAAAAAAAAAAAGGAGTTATAAATTCCTGCTGGGATCCAGTTTTCTAAAGCCCAAATCAAGACACTTGATCCCCAAATTGCAATTGTATGGGTGGCATCAAAATTATTTGAAATTTCAGTTATTCCAGAAAATCCAGGATGTAATTTGCCATGTGCATGTTTCATTTTGATTAGCGTCCCCACGCTCCCGACCCATACTGTATAAATCCATGAGGCTTGAAGGAAAGAAGGGGCCTGCACATAACCGTAGCTGGTTCAAAGCTGGAATGAACTTCTTAGCAGAAGGATCACAGACTAAGTACATTGACCTCCATGAAGCTCAGGAATCAACTTTAACCCAAATAAATGTCTTAGTTTTACTCATTCCTCTTTGGCAACTTAAAAAGAGCAAATGGTTCTAATAAAAACGCAGCTCTTTTGAAAACCTCTGTTGGTTTTGGAGAGGGGGAAACAGAGGATTTAGGCTAAATCACCAGACCCAAACCTGATTCTGAAGGGGGCTGCACACTGCTTCTGGCAAGGAGGAAAGAGTGTTTTACTATTGCACGTGGCAATATTTAGTATAATATTTCACTCCTCTCTTAGATGGCTGCCAAGAGTAACAATTAAAGTTCGCTTTTTCATAGATGAATTACTCTGAAAGGGCTGGGCTCCCAGTGGGATTGTTTTGTAATTTTGTTGATGGCAAGCCCCATATTTCATCTAAACAGGATCATAATAAGATGCTTTAAAAAAAAAAAGAGTTATTTTCTTCCCTACTCTAAACATTACCATCCCCTCCCTAGTGTCCCACAAATAAAAGTGAGTATGGCAGAGGCTAGCAGAAGCAATGTACTTTGGGGAGATAGAGAATGCAGGTCAGTAGGACTGCAGGAAAATGGTATGACTTTTTATGAAATAAGAACTGAAAGAACAAAACAGAGCTAATGCTTGGAAAACATGCATGGGAGGAGAGCTCAACAAGGGCCCGTCCTTTAAATTAGGTCAGCTGGCTTTTGCAGGCCTTGCTTCGAAGGAATCCCTGGCCTCACATTTCTTCTTAGACTGGAGAAAAGGGAAATTTCCTGCCAACAGAAGCGAGTGGCCTTGTATGTGCCCTTGTCCCACCCAACTCAGTCCTAACACTGAGTGAGATAAATGCATGAGATGGATCTGAAAACACCTGTGCTTCCCTGGGCTTGCTTTTATGTCCTAACGTTGAGCAATATAACTTTTGAAGAATGTTTAAAAATATATATATATATGAGAGCAGTTTCACAAGTTGCCCTGTGCGTATCTGTTGGTAATGGGGACCTCAGTATCCTTATCAGAATTTCTTTCTCATCAGGGAAAGCAGAAGCCACTCAGTGTAGCAACCAACTAGGTTTTGGGGTTTGGACATCAACAGACCTGTTGTAGTCCATTATCACTGGTAACTTCAGAAAAGCCAACACCCTAAAGAATAGTCTTCGTCCCAAACGCTGCCAAATCCGTTTTACACACCCTCCTTATGTTTCTTCACACGTGCCCACACGTTGTAAGTCCTAGGCAGACAGCACAGCTAGGTGGCGTATGAACTAGACTGGTGTGGGTTCTCCTGAAGGCACACACTGATCCACTCAGCCACATGTGTGATGGACAGGAGTGGGGGAGGGGGCCCTTCTCCCGAAGCAGCTGCGGCTCAGACAGGCTCTCATTCAGGCAAGGAGGTTGACCTTGGAAAACTAAATAATGTAGGTCTCTGATGACTCATCCCTATGTTCTTCTGAGAGTGGGACTTGCACACTGATGGGTTAGGTACAGAGAACTTTCTTCTCCTTTTTCTGTGCTCTTCTTATAGAAGCACTCTATAAATGATTGCAATAGTAAGATTAGCTCACAGAGAGGGAAGCCCCAAAGATGGAAGCCACTCGTGAATGTTCTTATGCTAGTGGTACCGTCATGTTTAACCATTCTAATTAAACTAAGATTATTCTGTCCTGCTGCTTCTTAAGTAATAGTAATAATCTTTTATAGTATAATTAGAATGTCATTGATAGCAGATTAGTTTTTCAAAATAAACGTAGTCCCATGAATACATGCATATGGAAACTGACTGAACATTGTTTTGCCTTATTCATCTTGTAAATGATCCTAGCTAAATTTCATATAATGCCTTTTGACTGTAAACCTCCTCCAGAGTTTTTTTAAATAAATAGAATAACTATCATATACCTATCGAAGAATCTACTTGAGATTGTACATGAGAATAAGACATTATTTGTCTTAGACTAGATGAACAGGTGTTATATTCTGCCACTATAGAACTGAGATCCAAATTCCAGTATTTTGCTATTGACCAACATTTGCAATGCCAGGAGGTGACTTTGGCATTAAGCTATTTAGGTTTTTTTCAGTATTACTGTTTTCTCCCTTAATCCCTTTCCTTTCTGCTTATGAAAAGTCTTTTCCAGTTTTGTTGTTTGTTTTCTATTCTTTTTAATCCTCCCTCTTGTTCCTTAAAATGTACGAATCAGCTATAAAAGTGAAGGCTTTTGCCATCCCAGTGCTTTTCTTCATGGAATTTAATTTATATTGTCTCTTCATTTACTGATTTGCAGATATTTCCTGAGTAGGCTTCATCATGGCAGCTCAGCACATGTTGAATTGTACCCAGAAAATGGGAGTGGGAGAAAATGTCAGGGACACCATGGTATTGTCTAATTGGATCTGCTGTGGTGTAATTTACATACAGAAACAGAAATTTACACTGCACCTTTTCATCCCTTCAGTCAAGCCCCAACAGTGTGCCAGGTCATGTGAGACAGAAGTGTCAATGATCCGTCTCTCATCATCTAAAATTCGGCCTAACTTCAGCAGCAGAAGGCATCTAATATAGAGAATATCTATTGTGGTGTCCAGTTTATATTTTGACCAGCTTTGTTTGTGCATACACGATATGGAGGCCCATAGAGCCAGGTTAAAGACTTTAATTCAGGCATTCTTTTATAATCTGTGGCTCATATTATTTTAAGAAGTTATCTCTTTCTTGTGATCAGCTCCTTTTTACTGCTTTAATCTGAGGAAACTGCAAATCCACCATCCCTCCCACCCCCTGCACGGTCTGGGCTGTGCAGGCTGATTCTTTCCCCAGAATCCTTATCTCTGGTTTGAGTATGCAGTTATGACTATAATTGAATGCATGCAACATCAGTGCTTTAGTTTTTTTTTTTTTTCAAAGTGTTTGTTTTTGGATTATATGACTGTATACAGTTAAACTCTCTTAAATCTAGGAACAGGAATAGATGTCAGATA